GATTGGCGGGGGGTGAGTGGGGGGCGTGTGTCCACATGCGTAGACAGACAGGTATACAAGAAATAGCTGAGAGGGTCTGTGTAGAGGCGCCTTCACACGCGCGTCTGTTCATATGTGCACATGTGTGTATGTCTATTCTACTGTGTGTATGTATATGTGTATATGTATATGTGTGTGTGTGTGTATATATATATATATATATAGCGCACAAATAACATACAAAGACGAGTGCATGTGTTATGTATGCATACCATGCACGTGTGAGCTCTCTCTCTCTAAAATATACACGCGTGGTATGCATGTGTAAAATGCGCACCCGGCCTTTTGTGCGTTATTTCTGTGCGTGTAAACGGTCTCCTGCCTTTGACAGCCCCGCGGTATCCCCCGACGGTGGCCCTGGCTTGATATGGCGAAATAAATGTATATCTCAAAGTATACATACCTTGTGTGTGTGTATCCATATGTATATTGATACCTATATGTAAGTATTTAGATACCCTTATGTAGTATTTAAATACCCTTGTGTAGTATTTAGATACCCTTGTGTAGTATTTAGATACCCTTGTGTGTACATGTATATTTGGACATATATTTGTGTATGCATAAATACACGCACACATACAGACACACATAAGGGTATCTACTCAGGTTGCACATGTGTGCCAAAAGGTATAGTCCCTTAGGTGTGTAGTTCTGTAGGCAAATATACGTGCGGTCGCACATTTAAGCGTGCATGGCTGTTATGTACATGGGTGTCTCTAAACACACATGTATATGCATGTATACATGTGCGCGCGCGTGTATCTATCTATATATTTAGGTGTATTTGGATATATGTATATAAGAGTATGTGCCCAGTTTGCTCGATTTGCTAAAATACAGACAGAAATGTGCATAGTTCTAGGTGTCAATATGTATACGTGTGTGTTTAGACGTGCATGCCTGTTCTAGACACGCGTCTCTGCTTCGGGCGTGTGTGGAAGGATCTCCCCTCCCCCCCGGCCCAGCCCACAGGGGCCTCCCAAGCGAGGAGGGACCCTCGAATGGGGGGCCCCTTTCCGTGTGGCGCGTCGACGCGTGTCAGGGCGCGGGGCGGCAGGGCGTGCACACGTGCGGGGCCCGATGCGGGCGGGCTGCGGCCTGGCGCGGCCTTCCCCGCCGGGGGGGGGGCAGAGCCTGGGGACCCCGCAGGTGTTGTGTGGGGTTTTTTTTGGGGGGGGGGAAGGAAGGCTCCCCGGCCGCCTCCGCTCCCCCCGTCCCTCCCCCCCGGCGGGGGCTTCTTCTTCTCCTTC